GCTGACGGCTCCCCACCCAGCACCCAGCACCCCTGCTGACGGGCCTGCCTGTGGCCTCGTGCCCTCGCTCCCCATCAAGAAGCCACAGGAGTCTGGGGCCTAGAGACCAGCATGGCTGCCCTTTGCCCTTGGACCCACCTGGAGAGCCCCATGGAGACGGGCCTGGCCACGGGCTGGTGAGAACGCAGGGCTGAGCGGGAGAGGACCCTCCTCTTGGCACTCAGAGGGGACGCAGGGCTGGCAGACGGCTCTTCGCTGCTGGAGGAAGGACACCGGCCGAGGAAACGGTGACCCATGCCCGAGGCCCACGGGCCCCTCCAGCCCATGCCCAATGCCCAGCAGGACGGCCTGGTGCTGCCCACACGGCACCTTCCTCGGCCCGGGACGAGCATGCCATGCCTGAGGCAGGAGGCAGCTCCTCGCTTTCCTAGCGGCAACCTGAGGCTCACCCTGGCCCACAGGGGTGGCGTGCCCACCGCCACACTAGGAAGAAGGGAGGTGACAGCGTGTTCCCCAACTCGGCAGAGGGGCCTGCGGCACTGCCCCCCTGCAGTCACCTGTCGAAAGGGTCCAGCTCATAGGGGTCTCCAAAGACAGAGAGAGAGGCAGCCCCGATGTCCGCACGCATCAGCCCCAGGGAGGGGTCCGCAGGCCGGAACACGGATGGGATGCAGGCCCCGTGGGTCGGCCTCCGAAGGCCCAGCGTCCGCGCGATGCGCCCACGGGCTGTGACTTCACCCTGAGCAGCCTTGAAAGGAAAGGACCGCCGTGAGACATGTGGATCTGGGTGCGAGCTGGCCACACCAGAGCAGCCGGCCCCACACCATCCCTACGCCCACCACCTGGCCTCTGCAGGTCCCAGGCCAATGAGGGTGGACCTGGGGCTCCACCAGGACAGGCCAGCCTGCCCGCAGGACCCCTGTGGGCGCTGCCCTCGAAGCCGCCCCAGCGGCCCCTAAAACCAGGGATCACCAGGGAGCCTCCTGACAAGCCAGCAGCTCTGCCTGTGTCCTGGCCCACCCGCAGGACGCCCGCCCGTCTGCACTCTGCGGCCGCCGGCATGGCTCCCCCTGGCCTTGGCCAGGGGCCGCTTGGCCTGGTCCTCACCCACCAGAGGTGACGGCGACCTGGAGCTCCTGTCCCCGGAGCGGGAGCCGGAGCGGGTGCGGGAGCGGGTCTGCCTGTGCCCTGGGGCGGAGGCCTGCTTCCTCTGGTCGGTCTCTCTGCCGCGGG